CCTTCCTTCCTTCCTTCCTTCCTTCCTTCCTTCCTTCCTTCCTTCCTCTCTCTCTCTCTCTTTTTCTCTTGCTCTCTTTTTTTAAAGTACATTACTATTAAATAATTTCATTAGCCTACAGACATTTTGTGAGACAGCATGGGAAACTACAAGGTGCTCTATGTAAGAGTTGTAACATCATGTCTTTCCCAGTTTTCTCCTTCTTCCCAGCACTCTCCTCCCCCAGTTCTGAGTCTTTTCCAGAGCCTGATTCCAGTCCCCCAGATAGGAGGACAGGATTTTTTTTCTCAGGGAAGACTCCCTTAGACCTCTGGGCTGCAGCAGTTTCAGGAATGTAGCTATGGGAGAACAAAACCCCAGAAGAAATATGAAGTTCATTTTTTAACTAAAATTATGATTTATGAGGAACAGCTGAACAGACTATGTGAGGTTTCATTTAAATAAATTCTGAAGGTCATAATGATTTAGGAGAACTGTATATGCTTACTCTTTTGTGAGACTTACACATCACATAAGCATAAGGATCCTTCTACTGTCTCTATGTTTAGTCTTGCATATGATAACCATGTGCTTTCAGCACCTCACATATACTAACGTTTTTTTTCATTAGAAAACCTCTTTGAGAACTGAAGGATGGAGAAATGAGGTGAAGAGATTAAGGAAAGCTGAAGCCAGGCTGGGCCAGACCCCAGGTTTCTTGTATCTCAGCACCGGTGCCTTGGTTTTTCCCTTTTCAAAATTCCCATTCCCATGCTATGGAGGTCACTCTTCCTCACCCAGAGTCTTCATCATATAATTTTATGATTTTACTACAAGTTCCTCTCCACGAGTTACCCAGCTCTACCATAGGATGGTGAGGAACAAAGTCAGAGCATGCCTTATCCACCAGAAAGCTCAGCAGTTGCCCTTAAAACCATTGGCCTCTTCCACCAGGGGTGCTTGCCATTACTACATTCATTGCAACTTAGATGAAGAGCCCAGTTGAACCTGAGGCACAGATAAATACTAGCACAAAACAAAGAGTTGGTATTCTTCAGAGAAACAAACGGAAACACATCGGCTTTAAAATTCTCAGTGAGTCCATTCAAACATAACCTGCTGCTGTGCCATGGACAACACCCTATTGAGCACAAGTCTCTCCAAAATGTGGATTCATGAGCACTTGGACTTGTCCCCATCTCAGTAATGTAACACAGAGCCTGCCCTCCCACACCAAGTCTAAGACAGGGCCAAGTATTTAAACTTCTGAGAATGATATTAGCCCCTGCCTAAGATCACTGTACCTAGTTCTTCCTAGTTCTTAACCCCTAACCATACAGAAAGAGAGTAACTTGGAACCATTTTCTTCCATTTCTGTGGGTGTTTTATTTGGGCTGGTGCACTTGCTGTGAGGGTTTTAAGGATCTTTTCTCTAAATCTTCTGTTACCATGATAAAAATAATTAGCCATCTTTGTCATGTTTTCCTTGTCAAAATACCTGTGAGAGAGAGAGAAGCCCTACTTTTATTTCAGGAGCTCAGGGAAACATGGAGTCAATTTGTGATTGTGTTTAACTGCCAGAAGATGCAGAGGGACATCAAGTGGGATATTCAAGAACATCTCTATTTAGATACTGAAGTAAGACTTTGATAGGTAATTAAAGAACAATGTCAAGTTTACAAATCTCCTGAAAAATCTAGCTTAAAGTACAATTAAACTCCTCTGTGTCACTTCTACATCTGTGGGAGATCAGGGAGATGGATATTAGCTTCTTCTTCAACAGAAGGCACTAAAAACAATTGTGTTTTCTTCCATACAATTACAGAGTGATTTCTTCTAAGTAATGTCATTACATTTTGCAGACTGTCTTTAGTGAGTGTAGTAATACATGTGGCTACTATTGCACTCTTCCTCACTTTCAAATTTAACTGTTCATTGCTTACAGAATTTAGTAATGTAGAAGCCCAACAGATATGAGAAAGTGCCCAACAGATATGAGGATGTCTGTCTGAATGCTCTTCTTACTATTACTATAAAAACAATCTGCTCTGAGACGAACATTGTTGGAAGCTAGTTGTACATAATATTTTTCATAAATCTATGTAATCTGTACATATAAATCATAACATAAAATTATACAATATAATATGTTTTTAATTTATGTCCAGGTAGCTAAGGGCTGTTTTCCCCTTATTTATAAGGGTCCTACATCTCTTGAAATGACAACTTGAGGCAAAGCTAACATCCCTGCTGTCTGAAGTGTTGTTCACACCATCTCAAGTGGAGGATAACCAAGGTTAGTGGAGCTTTTTTGACCCTTTACCTCAGGTGAAGTATAGAATGGGGTCAGAATCCATTTCTTCCTACTTCATCATACATGTTGCTTCTTTTGAAAGGAATAAACTTAGCCTTTTCAGGGCATTGCTTGTGTTTTATTAGTGTTAGAGTCAGACCGTAAGGGGCAGATACATATCTTAAGTACTTATGTCCAGCTGTATTTGGATGAGATCTGGTTTCATGTCAAAGAAATATATCACCTGGTAAAAATAAGTGTGCAAACTAATCTGGATGCCACTACATGCTCATACATTTGACGTGAAAACAAAGACTTCATAGTTGTATAGGCCTGGAAATCACTGTTGCTAATGACTTCTCCATCTAACCTGTAGGTATAAAGTGGCTTGGCTCTGAAAGTCTTGAAAAAAAGTCACAGAAAATCCCTATGTTTTGCAAATTTGATGCATTCAGAGGCACATGTGCACACGGCAGTGAAGAAATCCTGCTTCACACATGGTAAAATATAAGCTTGGGGGAAATCTTACTGCGAAGGTGGGTTGCATATGTGTTTTTGCAAGTGTGTTTATGTAGAATTTTTGGATCTCAAGACTAGAGGCCTTGCTCAGGCAAAAATCCAACTGGCTGAAATGGAAATGTTGCCTTATGCAGTCTGCGAAATTCGGCTGGGAGTGCATGTTTGTACATTTTCCGTGCATGCTAAAGGTCAAGGAAAAGATTGCCAGGACCTCTTATTTGTTTCTGTGCCTTCCTGCTGCATAGCCAAGATACAGGTAAAGCTGCCACGGCTTTCAAAGAGCCTGCAGAATTTGGCCCACTCTGTATCAAAACAGCCTTGAACAGTGGAGTACAGCTAAATTATTCCAACACCAGACAAATGGGTCTGCCTAACCTAAGCCATAACATTTGAATTATTAATGTTCTCTAATAAAGGGGATAAAGTGTCTGTAGAACAGAGTGTTTCAGAGCTCTGTTAAAGATCATGCCTATTTTAATTTAGAAGTTCAGCTTGAGGAGAGACAATGCTGGCATTGTGTTACAGAGATTTAAAACGAGTCTGTCTTGAGGATTTTTCTCTGTCCTTATCTGTAATAATAGAATTTAAAAAAGAGTCAGAGTGAGAGCAGCAGCACTGGAAAATATCTTTCTCAGAAACTATAGCAGACAGGTCACAACATTTTTAAACAATGATAGTAACATTTATTCTATCAAAGCCATTTTATGTTTTATTTGGAACTCTGGCGCCTTTATTTTTTTAAGCTCTCATAACATGACACTAATTACAGACATCAAGATGCTCTATAGAAGATACCAGTCAAAATCCAGATGCTGCTTCTTTTCCTTTCTCTGCACTCCCACCCCAGCCCCTTTGTGTGCATTACATCATGGCATAGTTTATTTTAAAAGTGCCTCAAAAATGCAATGATAGTAATCGTAGACAGCAGGAAATTAATGGTAAGCACCTCTGGTCTGCAAATTCCTTTACAAAGCACTCTGTCTGATCATCAGAAGACCTTGTTAGCAGAGGCTCGAAAATACAGAGGCTTGAAAATGCAGTTTGGATGATGTGTTAAAAATTATATCAGGTTAAATTCCTTTTCATCTTAGAGCTGTGCACACATGCTTTCTAGACTCTGGCACTTCTGCCAAATGCAAATGCTTAGATCCACTGAAGGAGTCGGTTTTGCTGGTCCATCTTGGAGGCTGATCTGCTGCCTCAGCTCATGGGGTGCACTGCACCCACAAGTGTGGGTTTGGGGTGAAATCTCTTAGGAGACGAGGCTTGGGAGAGACCTTATTTCTCTCTACAGCTGTCTGAAGGGAGGTTATGGTGAGTTGAAATTGGTCTCTTCTCCAAGGTTATTAGCAATAGGACAAGAAGTAATGGCTTTATGTTGCGCCAAGAGAGGCTCAGGCTGGATATTAAGAGAAATTTCTTCTCAGAAAGAGTGGTGAGGGATTGGCACAGACTGCCCAGAGAGGGGATGGAATCACCGTCCCTGGAGGTGTTCAAGAGCCATGGAGATGTAGCACTGAGGGACATGGTTAGTGGGTATAGTGGGGATGGATTGGTGGTTGGAGTGGTTGGACTAGATGATCTTAAAGGTCTTTTCCAACCTTAATGATCCTATGATTCTATGAAAGAAGCCCAAATCTCAGGGGTGGTAGTAGATGGCGTGCAGGCATCATCCCCTTTCTGTCTCAGATGACTACAAGATAGTTAGCTGCGGAGTTGGTGTGCTCCATAGTTCTTCAGGCAGTGATGGCCCCCTGCAAAATGCTAATAACTAAATAGCCAAGGACTCTCAGGTACCAGTGGTGGCACTGAAAATATGGCAACCCTTGGTTCTGAGACACTCCAATCAGCTGCCTGTAGCAAATGGTACGATTACACTCTAGCCTTCAAAACCGCCGAGGTTCAGTATGACTTCGCCACACAACCATATGCAGACTAACTTCATGTGACACTTCAGCCAGGGTAGCATCATCTGGGAGGGTGAACGTCCCATGACCTGGTTTGCCACATGCCTCTGCTGGGTCACAGGGATTCCCTGCAATACCACGTTGCCCCAAGTCCAGCTGGCATCAACAAAACAGCCAGCCTCAGTCAGAACAACGTGGGCTCATCTTTCCTGCATGTCACTGATAGCAATAGCACATCCTGTGGCCTCATGGTGACATGTATGTGCACCGTGGAGCCAGATGACAGCCACCCTACTTGTGTTTTCCCTCAGGCAGCCAGGATGAAGTCCCAGTGCTGTGTAAGTGTGATTCAGGATTTCAGCCAAAATGTTGCAACAAACACATTTGTCTTGCAGAGTAAGCAAATAAAGTGGCAACACTGCACCAGTAAAGAACAGGAAGCATTTGATGATGCTGGCTCCAATTTTTTAGCCTATTAAGATTTCCATTACCCTCAGGCTCATTATTCAGCAATAAGTAAACACCAATAAATCTGAAATAACAAGTGAAACACATGCACTTAAGAAAAAAATAATCCTAGTAAATGTTCCTTCTTTTAGCACATTAGAAACACTCAGCACAACAGTACTAGGGTGGTCATGATGCTCTGAAATATATTCCATTCTCCAAAACAAGCATCCCACAAGCCTTTGCAACCAGGAATGAAGGGAGGCTCCACAGTGGAAATCCTCTCACTGATCTCCTTCATGACCATCTCTGAGAGATTCCTTTTTTTGCAGAAATTACAGGAACTAAAGTAAATGCACCAGCATTCCCTCCTCACTCCAATGCCATCAGGAGTAGTGCAATCTGGACACATCTTTGTGTCTGTGCCATGCTGTCAAGGACTTAGACTGTATTTCGTGGGTGTGGAAATCCTTTCTCTTTTAAGCTTACAGAAATCTTTTTCCCAACAGAAGAAAGATGACCTTTTTTTTGCCACTGTGCGGGTTAAAACACCTTGTCAACCTGTGATCAGATCCATATTCTTCCTTTTTCATTAAACTGTGGAGGGTTTATTCTACATTTCCCTAAGTAGGGATTTTAGTTTTTCTATTTTCCGTTATTAAACAGGAAATCTCTCCACTGCTTCTCCACTTTCTCTAAGCTTTGTTTACATTCTACTTCCATTACCAGAATTATTCTTACATTTTTCCATCCCCTCTTCTGAACAAACATTTACACTGACTCTGAATGACTCTTATTATATATAAAGGGAAACAACAAAGCAAGTGAGAACAAAAGTAACATCTCTGTGGGAGGATGAAATGTGGCTGCTCCCACCACGCTCACAGTGGCCCTGGGAAGAGACTGCCAGCTTTGAGCATCCCTGACTGCAGCGGCATGAAAAAAATGTAGATGTGCACCAAACAGTGCATGAAGCCATGAGAATTATACAGCAATATGTGCCACAAAAGTAAATTACCTCTGTGCTCATGGGTTCTTATCTATCTGTACAATTATTAGGACATATCTTCTGGACTCAGTTGATACAAGCAATGTGGCTCTCATTTGTCCCTCAGACCAGCAGCTTTGGGCAACTGGCACATCAGGTTTGGTCTCCTGCCCTGGCAAGCCTGCTGCTAGAGGTCAGTAGCTTATGGTTACTGTGGCTCACACCACTGATACTAAGATTTGTCTTCTCATCTCTTTGGGATGTGTTAGAACCCAAGCTGGGCTGTTGAGCACTGAATCAGTCCTTGTTTCTGCACTTGCCTCACACGTGGCCTGCCAGCTGAACAGCTGCAGCAAAGACTTGTTTGCCCAAGCAGCTCACAAAACCTTTTTCACCCAAGGCTAAATACAAGGTCTTGCACTTTAGTAGAGGTAATCCCAGATATGAGTACAGACTGTGAGAAGAACTCATTGAGAACAGCCCTGAAGAGAAGGCCCTGGCACAGCTGCCCAGAGAAAGTGTGGATGCCCCATCCTTGATATTCAAGGCCAGGTTGGATGGAGCCCTGGGCAGCCTGAGCTGGTGTGTGGCAGCCCTGCCCACAACAGGGGAGTTCGAACTAGAAGATCTTTAAGGTCCCTTCCAGCCTAAGTCATTCTATAATTCTATGATATGATTCTATGGCGTGATTCTAATACATTGAGAACAGAACCAGATGACACAACCATATGCCTTCTTCTGCTCCAAGCTTGCTATTTGTCTCATAAATATTATCTTACATTGGTATCAGTTGGGCTATAGATAATCCACAAAAAGATGGGAAATTCCCACTTTTCTGTACTCCACTTTTTTTTCCAAAATTTGAATATGCAGCTTGCAACATCCAGAGACATGTTGGACATCTTTGCCACAGATGGTCTTTAGCAAGTTTATTGCTATCCATGAGAAACAAGAAAATAATCTGCTTGGAGGTCCCAAGATGGATTTGCAGGCCTGGTGGCTGAACAAAAACAAAAAAGTACTTTTACTTGAAATCTGAACATATTTGTTCTGTAAATCATTGCTTGACAATAAACCCACACTGTTTTCAGAGTTGCTTTTTATTGTAAGCATTTAGCATCTAATTTCCAGAGATATATTAGAGTAAAAAAAATGGTATTAAAATTTCCTGACATAGTTTACACTTTCTATGTGCTATTTTCAATGTGCTAGTATCAATTTTATGCTAAAATTGTGGCAGATCTTTTGTATCTTATGGATCTGTTTTTAGATGCATCTCCTGCCCTTTTGTGTTTGTAAAATATGATCTACAAATGTCTAGATATTAATTCTAGTGAAGATGTTTTACAAGGCAGCCTTTCAACTGAACAGCCGATGTTAATCCCACCCACACATCCTGGTAAAGTAGCACAGCAGTTTTTTTAAACTCTGGCTCAGTGTCTCATCTCTTCTATGGTGATGAAAATGAATACTGCATCTATCGCAAGGCATGTCAAGCTCTCTATGGAATTTATTATGCTCTCTGCACCAAATGTTCTACCAGCAGGTCTGCCTCGTGCTGTTCAGAACATGTATAATTAGAAAAGAATTCAGCTGATGCTGGAAAGAATGACCGTCCATAACTCATCAGGTTAGAAAG